ATATCAGATTTATATCTATAATTCGCAGTTTAGTAAATATCATATATATATATATATATATATATATATATATATATATATATATATATATATATATCAGATTTAAATCATAGTTTAGTGTATATATATATATATATATATCAGATTTATATCTATCATAGTTTAGTGTATAGCTTAGTTTAGTGTATGATGTAGTATTATTTATTATATTTGAAATTCATAGTTTAGTGAATAGCCCATATCAGATTTATATCTATAATTTGCAGTTTAATTATATATATATATATATATATATATATATATATATATCAGATTTAAATCATAGTTTAGTGTGTATTTATCAGATTTATATCTATCATAGTTTAGTGTATAGCTTAGTTTAGTGTATGTAGTATTATTTATTATATTTGAAATTCATAGTTTAGTGAATAGCCCTTATATAGATCAGATTTATATCTATAATTCGCAGTTTAGTGAATATCCCATATATATCAGATTTAAATCATAGTTTAGTGTATATATATATATATATATATATATATATATATATATAGTATATTATATTTGAAATTCATATAGTTTAGTGAATAGCCCATGTATAGATCAGATGTATGTCTATAATTCGCAGTTTAGGCTGTGTGTGTGAGTGACACAGAGTAACAGGTGCAGGTTTGGTGTGTGTCCATGGCACTTACAGTGTGTTATCCTGGGGTGTCAGCTCCTCCTGCATCCTCCTGATGTTGCATCCAGTAGTTGGGCAGACACTACACACAGCTACCAGGCAGCTCCATGTCCTCCTTCCCCCAGACCAGGGGCCCTGCCTGCATCTCTATGATGGGGGGAGAGGATGGGGGTGGTGGGGGTGACCTGCTACTCCCACCAGGGGCCACACTATGATGCTGCTAGCCAGACCAGCTCCACCGTCTCTGAGGATGGCTGTGTTTGGCTCTCACACTGCGGCCCCTCCCACAAGCCCTGGAATGGGAGGGGGGAGGAGGAGGTGGGAGGGGAGGCCGTGCAGGGAGAGCGAAGCAAGCTTCAACACAGCTTTCAGGTAGTAGGAGATTCCCCTGACGTCAGCACGCATGACGCACGGGGCTCCCACTTGACGTTACGTGCTGGCAACATCCCAACTAGATTGCGTGGGTGGGGCGGGAGTTTCCCCCCGCCCACCTAGTGACAGTGATGCCTGTTTCCTAGGCAACCAACACAGTGGTCCTTCCTATGACAGGCTCATTAGTAGGGGGCGCTGTCTGCACAGGAGGGGGTGAACGTACACATAATGGGGATTACACAGTGTGGGTTTGGACATTACTGGGGCTATATAAATTGGGAAAGAAGTGGCAGACAGGATTGGGGAATGTGTGGGGGGTAAGGGATAGAAGTGGGGGACAGAATGCGAAGGAGATACACATTATGGTGTACCAGTCAGAGTGGGGGGCTTTGGAACCCAAAGCTTCCTGCACCATAACCACTACAGTAAGATATGGTGCTGCTTGGATTAATAAGGATTGGAGTCAATGCACAAATCCCCCCTGGGACCCTTTATTTCCATATTGCATACAGTATAGGTTAGCATATCATCCACGTGTCCCTATTAGAAGGTACTGGCTCTATTTTGAGCCCAAATCTCCAAATTGCTCATAATTGAAATTTTAAATATTTAAATAATTTTTTCTTCTGGTAAAAAGTATTTGTTCTGGTGAGTAGAATCATTCCCTTCAGGCTTTTTGCAGTAAACACTGTCTTTGTCAAATAAAATGCAGTGTTTACATTACAGCCTAGGGATAACCTCACTGGCCACTCCTCAGATGACTAGTAGAGGTGCTTCCTGGGGCAGAGCAGCACAGTGTGCAGCACTGACATTCAGTGGCTCCATCCTCTGCACGGAGACACTGAACTTTCCTCATAGAGATGTATTGATTAAATTCATCTCTGAGGAGATGTTGATTGGCTACCGCAGTGTTTGGGTTGGGCTGGCTCTGCCCCGATCTGCCACCAAGTGGCGGACTAAGGGGGGGGGCGGAGGGGGCAGTCCACCCCGGGTGCCACCAGAAAGGGGGGTGCCATGAACCTGGTCTGAGGGCTAACGGGGGATGTGTGAGCTGCACCCCATGGCAGCTGGGGTGTCGCACAGCTCACACGGAGAGACTAATTGCTGAACTAGCCACACGGAAAGAAGAAGGGGCAGTGCTACGGCTGTGTGGGGCGTGGCCAATCCCAGAGCGCGGGAGGGGCTTAACACAGCCCTTACCCGCTGCTCTTACTGCTGCACATGGAGGTGCCGCAAGAAGAAATCCCTGCTCCTCCACCTACCAGGCTCCAGGGAAGGACTTCAGGGCAGGGAATCCACTCCTCCAGTCCACACTATCTGTAAGTGAGTGTGTGTAACTGTCTGCCTGTAACTGTGTGTGTGTAACTATCTGCCTGTAACTGTATGTGTGTGTGTAAAATTATCTGCCTGTAACTGTGTGTGTGTGTGTTACTGTCTAACTGTGTGTGTGTGTGTGTGTGTGTTTGTAACTATCTGCCTGTAACTGTGTGTGTGTGTGTGTGTTACTGTCTAACTGTGTGTGTGTGTGTGTGTGTGTGTTTGTTTGTAACTATCTGCCTGTAACTGTGTGTGTGTGTGTGTGTGTTACTGTCTAGCTCTGTGTGTGTGTATGTGTGTGTAACTGTCTGCCTGTAACTGTGTGTGTGTGTTACGGTCTGCCTGTATAAATGTGTGTGTGTGTAACTGACTGCCTGTAACTGTGTGTGTGTGTAACTATCTGCCTGTAACTATGTGTATGTGTGTGTAACTGTCTGCCTGTAACTGTGTGTGTGTGTGTGTGTAACGGTCTGCCTGTAACTGTGTGTGTGTGTGTGTAACTGCCTGTAAATGTGTGTGTGTGTGACAGTCTGTAACTGTGTGTGTGTGTAACGGTCTGCCTGTAACTGTGTGTGTGTGTGTGTGTAATGGTCTGCCTGTAACTGTGTGTGTGTGTGTGTGTGTAACTGTCTTCTTGTAAATGTGTGTAACTGCCTGTAACTGTATGTGTGTGACTGCCTGTGACTGTGTGTACCTGTCTGACTGTGACTGTGTGTGACAGTCTGCCTGTGACTGTGTGATGCTGCCTGTAACTGTGTGTGTGTGTGGCTGTAACTATGTGTATGACTGTCTGCCTTTGACCGTGTGTGTGACATGTATATGTGACTCTCTGCCTATATCAGTGTGCGTGACTGTGTGTTACTGCTTGTAACTGACTATGTGTGTGTGTAACTCTCTACCTGTAACTGTGTGTGTATGACTGCCTGTGACTATATGTGTGACTGTCTGCATGTGACTGTGTGCGTGTGACTGTCTGCTAGTAACGGTGTGTGACTGTCTGCCTGTAACGGTGTGTGAGGGGGTGCAGGGATTTTGTAGAAGGCGGCAGAGATTTTAAAAAGTTTACAAATTTGTGTAATACATCTTTAAAAATGTAAAATATTACACATTTTAAAAATTTTGTAGTTTTTTTTTTTTTTCTTGGAGGAGGTGGCCCCGGGTGCCACATGCTCTAGGTACGCCCCTGCTGCCACCTTGACAGTCTCAGCCATTCCAATGCTTTCCTATGTGAAAGAATTGTGATTGGCTCAGAAGACTACTTGTGATGATGTTAGCCAAGCAGGCAGGCAAGGGGAAGAGCCGCAGACTGGAATAAAAGTTAGAGTTTGATATATTTAGAGGGGCAAGTGGGGGCCAGAGGATTTGTTTGATAAAGGAGAGCAGGTGAGGTCACCCACAGGTGGTCCTTCTGTTCTCCACCTATAGCAACAACAGTGCACGTGCTGTGGTTGTATGGTAACTCACTAGTCAGTGCTGTGCTCCATTCAGACGTCAGTATATTGGAAATGAAGCCGTGTCAGCATCACAAAGGAGGTTTGCCCTTTTTAAGGAAGCATCCCCAAGCAGGGCAAATCAGTAGTGAGCTTGTGGCATTCAAGCCAAGGGTCAGGTAAGTAGGGACTAGTTCCACTTAAGCCTTAATAAGTCCTCAATCACCATCCCTCTTCTCCATGGTATATCTTAACTTCTAATAGAGTTATTTACTAAAGTGAGAATTCAGAGTGAATTCAAAGTGAATTTCAAATTTAAGGCCACAGTAGTGGAACTGAAAACATAGCTGGCTTAGAGAATTTTTCCAGTTTGGCTATTTTGATTTAAATTTAAAATTCACTTGAAATCTCACGTTAGTAATTAACCTTGCAAGTGTATTTGTTAATCTCATATTACTTCTTTTCTCTTGCTTTTGCCACTATTATGAGTCCTTCTCTCTTTTCCTCCATTTATCAAAATAGATTTTATTTTAGGTCTATTTACACCTCAAAAATATCAGCATGATATGTGGTTCACTATTAAATTAGGCGTAGTTTGAAATATATTTTTAATGAATAGTTATACAGTGATACACAGCACTGCACGTTGAAGGAAAATGCCTCAAATTGCTCATGCTCATTGTGCTCTCTATGACTCATTTATTTTTGCTATTTATCTTTTGTTTAGGGCATTCAATAATCTTTGAATAAATATCCATCTTTCCAAACTGCATTTTCCCTTTCACTTCTCCTGTTTTTTCCCCGCTTTATTACTGTGAGCATTAGATTGATATTGTTCTGTAATTCTTCTTCATTCCAGATGGCTGTGTGGTTATTGGTGCTTGTAAGGAGTCCAGAACATGACTCATCCCTAGCGAGTAAGTACATTTAAAAAGTATATTCGTCTGAGCTCCTGCTTCTGTTACCTAAAATCCAGGGCTATCTGCGGGCCACACGCTAATTCTGACCCTACTAGGTACTCACCCTGCTAAGCTGAAGCTGGTGATTCCAAGGATACCTAACACAAGCCTTTTTAAAGCTGTATTACCCGGACAAGGCGATCAAGACCTACTTGAGCCTAGCACCTAGTTGCCCCTCCCCCCGCTGGACTAGTGGGGGTTATCCCAGTCCCCACGGGCGAACACTACTGCCCTCTGCAACTTTTAAGCACCCACACCGATGCAGGCCCTGGATGGGTCAGACCACCCCAAGATGGTGGACATGCTGCCACCTCATGTGCAGGAAACTAACACGACCACACAGAGCACATCTGAGCAGGTACAACAACAACTGACTGAAACCTTCTTTGTCAAGCTCTCAGCTCACCTTAGGACGACAACGTCTCCGTCGGAGGGGAGAGAGCGGAGAGGGGAGAGACGGGAGAAGAGCGGGCCCCCCAGGGGCGTTCCTTCCACACCAGCGGTACACTCACCCTCATGTGGCCTACCCGTGCCAAAGACCAACTGGGATGAGATCTCAGCGCATCGAACACAGACGCGGAGGATCCATCACCGCAGGCGGCAGAAAGCCATCAGGATCCGCTGTCGTCCCCCTACAGGAAAGAACTCGGTCTCCAGTGTGAGCTCCCCAGTTCATGGACTTTGGATGCAGGCCTTGGCCTAGGGGTGACCTTGTTCAAACTCTGTCTAGTATTGCCGCTCAAACCACTTCACCTACCACCGAGCAAAGGTATCGGCTGACTCGAGACAGCTCGCCCCAAGCCACCAGATAGTCAAGAATTGGACTCACTTAATTGACGCTGCAATATTTACTTACCTCCCCAAGTTTGTTCCTTTTGCTTATACTGACCACCATTTTATTTGATCTGCTTACTGTCGCTGCATCTCTGATGTGTCACAGTTAATCTCTTCTGCTAGGATATTAGGAGATGATGTTAAGCTTCAGTAGCTCTATGATTGACTTGTTTAGATGCACATGCTATATGATGGTTGATATGTCATTACCTAGCCGTGGATTTTACCCATTGCAAATGCTTAAGTTTTATCACCTAACCGCCTTTCCAGGGGCCATGACAGGGAAACAAATACATCCGTTACATAGGCATCTACCCTCATAACCATCCTGGGGAACCAGTGACCAAGTATGGCATACGGCTATAATCTGCAGTGGTGTGGACACAGTGGTCCTACAACCTATTACCCCAAGCATGTACCGAAACGTATATACTACGTCAGTATTCCCACTTACGCCTAACCTACAGTATTCCTACAGGCACTTCCTTTATTTCGTACTATCAGGCACCCATTTATGCCAGTTACTCCGCTACTGTTTAGCGTAGATTGTCTTATCAGGCGTATTTGGTGTTATCAAAAATTATCACTACAAAAAAAACAACAAAATGTGCTCTGTTATTGATTGCCCTTTACTGTTGAACAATGTATGCTAATTCTCTTGCTACCGCTGTTGGGGCAGTGCAAGCGTGTTTGTAACTCTGAAGCACAACAAAAATAAAAAAAATCTTAAAAAATTAAATTTAAAAAAAGTATATAATAACACTGCACAATTCTTCATTGGGATTCTTTATTTTTTGTTTGATTCACACTACAGAACTGGACTAAAAAGTTACATACTGTTTTACTTAATTGGGTTTTGGAAGTAAGAGACATTTTAAATCCAGCACCAAGAAATTAGGTGAGTGCCCTTTTATCATTGGTCTCAAAGTATCGACCGCAGGCCATTTCCGACCCCCTGCATATTGTAATGTGGCCTGTTGTCACCATCCCAAAATAGAGAGGTATATCTGCATCCAGACATACCTTTTCATGTACCTGATTGCTGGTAGCCAGGGATACAAATGGGTTGGGGTTGAGGATGCAGATGAGCCAACTACAACAAAATGGCTCCTCTGTGTGCAATTGGTCCTCGATTACCCAAGGTATTACATATTCAAAGGCTGTACTGGTAAAAGAGGAACCCTGCCAAGAGAGATATCTGGGGACATGAGGACAGAATGAGTTATGAGGGAGATGCCTGAGAGCATGATGAATCACTGGGGTCTTAGGGAGATACCAGGAGAACGGAGGAACCAGGGGGCATGGGGATGTACCAGAGGTGGGGTAGATACCTGTGTATAAGGGAGTGTGTAGCTGTGTGTGTGTGTGTGTGTGTGTGTGTATGGGACTATGTAGCTGTGTAAAAATATATGGTTGTGTGCGTATTGGAGTGTTTATGTGTGTATCTCGGATACCTGATGGCATGGGGATATAGTAGAGATGAAGGATAGGGGTAGGGTTAGGGGTAGGATTAGAGGTAGGGTTAGAGGGTAGAGTTAGGGTTAGGGAATTGGCGAATTCCCAAAATGCCAAAGTCCTGAATTTCAGAATGCTGAACTGAATTGCCGAAGTCTCACATTTCGGAAGGGCCGAACCGAAGTCCTGAATTTCAGAAGTGCCGAACCGAACCAAATTTTTTGCCCATGCACATACCTAGTTAGAACTGGCAGCACTTTCCTGGCTAAGACTCACAGGAGTTACAGCCAATAACATTTTATTTCTATTTTTTCCCCATAATCTTTATATAAAGGGACACTATAGTCAACAGAAGAACCAAAGCTTATAGTATTTGTTCTGGTGAGTTTAATCTGTCCCTTCAGGCTTTTTGCAGTAAACACTTTCTTTTCAGAGAAAATGCAGTGTTTACATTACAGCCCAGTGATACTTCCACTGGCCACTCATTAGAAGGCTACTAGAGGTGCTTCCTGGGGCAGTGCTGCACAGTGTGACTGACATTTAGTGCCTCCACCCTCTGCATGGAGACACTGAACTTTCCTCATAGAGATGCAATGATTCAATGCCTCTCTATGAGGAGATGCTGATTGGTCCATGCTGTGTTTGGCTTGTGCTGGCTCTGCCCCTGATCTGCCTCCTTGATACTCTCAGCCAATACAATGATTTTCCTATGCTGTCTGATAATGCAATGGGGAAGGTGACAGGTTTTCAAACACTACACATAGTACATAGTAGAGGAAATTTTAACAAAAACTATAGAATACTGTCCATAACATTTTCTACATAAGTACAACTTAACGCTCATTCCCCAGTAACACAAAGCCCACTAAAGCTACTGTATGGAATACCACATTATTACAGCAATTAGGATAGTAGTGTACCCCACTTTGATGTAACTTCTAATTATAAATGATACTCTGATGGCACAAATAAAGTCAACATTTTGAAGGGAATCTTAAATAGTCCTTATGTTCTCTGTCCCTTACATTGTTTCGGTACAAATGTATTGATATTAACAAAACCTAAAATACAAACAATTTACATATTTTGACTACAAAAGCTCCATAAAATGGCTCAATGGCACAATGCCTGGCAAAAATATGTATAATGCTCCATCTAAATAATACGTTGTATTTTCTAATTGTTGCTTTTTAGCTTGCATTGTTTAGTAGCAGTTTCCACATAAGTCAGTGGTAGATTCAGGATTACAGATATACAGCAATTAGCTTATGTGTTCCAGTTGTTAATGTAATGTAAGGTGTAATTACAAAGCAATGTTAATGTCATTTCATTGACGTTTCCAGGCTTGTTGACAGAACTGGCTAACAAAAGACAAAAATGTCCTAAGCAACAGAATGGTACTTAGCTTTTAACATAATGATATACAGATCACTTTAAATGGGATGTGTGTATGTTAAAGGAACACTATAGTATTAAAAATACAAACATGTATTCCTAAAACTATAGTGTTTGACTACATGTTTACAATATGGGTGGTATTGTCACCTAGTTGGCATGATGTCACAGCGTTTGGATGCCTCACACTCTCTGGGGAGGTCTATTGCCAGACTGTTCCACTTGTGAGGATTTCAGCAATAGCTGGGACTTGCCACAATAATTGAGACCCACAATGTGTGGTGTTAAATGATCACCATACCCTACTGACTATATAAAGTACATGATGTACAGATTTTGGCCAACATTATGATTGTGCTAATATTTGAGGTTGCAATTGTTAATCCAGAAGAATAAAATGTTTCCAGGCATGCATAGCACAGTTCCCACTGAAAAGCATGGAAAGACAAATACAAAAGTTCAATTTGTTGTCACAATAACTATTTAAATATTACTTCTATTACCTCGCACTTAGTGTCTTTATTTGCAGGAACAGAAATCGCTATGTTGCCAAAATGGGTTATTACTAAGTTTGCTCAGATTCCAATGTCACCTTTTGAAAAGAAGGCGGCACAGCTTATTAATGTTAATTCGGCATCTGTTATCGCGTCATCTCACCCAGTGATGGGGCAGCAACTTGAGTGCAGGTCAAACAACACACTTTGTACCATGGTGGAAGCATCTAGAATCAATTGCTAAATTGTATAAAGTTATAAAAGGGCATTGTATTTATTTAAACCACAAATGTAAGTCAACAGTTTCCACACTCATAAAATCGTTGGAGATCTATAATAAACATAAAAAAAGTTGACAAGTTTGAGCATTGGTAAGAAGGGGCTTCATAGCTTCCATAAACCTAAAACTCCATATGTGTGATATAACCAGTGGAACAAGATAACGTGATTTGCTATTTGTCTTAGCTTCTACATGTTTCATGTGTAACCAGGCTGAAGCAAATGCATTTTGCCAATAGTGGGTTTTTCTGAGTAAAATCCAGACTGCCCCCTCTCTATATGATCACCTAGGTTTATTTACAATCACAAAGCCTATTAGTTGATATATTGAATATTCTGGTCATTATGTCAACACAATTAAAAAAGTTAAAGACCACTTTAAATTTGTGTTTGTGTTCTTTACTAATTTCTCTTCCATATATCAGGCTGTCAGGTAACTAAGGATACAGTCCCTGAATGCAGATTAAATCAGTCTAGATGACGTAGTACCAGGCTTTAGAGTGGCTGGGCTTAACTTCGAGAAACACAGTGAGAAGTGGAACAAAAGAGGTATCAATAAATGAGCCGAAGTCAGGGAACCAGAGAGAAACTTAGTCAGACTAGTTAAGGTCAGAGGCACATAGCAAACAGGGAAACCTATGGACAAGCTGGGTCAAACACAGAATAATCAGAATAGGAGCACAAGGAATCAATCGCAAGCACTGAATCAGGCAAGGACCACAAACTGGCAGCGCACAGACTGAACGCAGGGGTTTAAATAGACCGGGTTTGAAACCGTCAATTATATTATTATTAATATTATTATTTATAAATCACTAGCAAATTCCATAGCACTGTACAATGGGTATATCAAAGATCACACAATGTATAAAATCCAAAATGCAGTACTCGCTAAGGAAAATGTGAACAAGAATAAAGTCCAAAGCAAACAATTCAGAGAGGGACTAGACGAAGGCAAGGATAAGCAATTCAAAAGGTCAAAATCCAAACAGCAAGGCAGGAGCGGAGAGGCAAGCCAGGTATCCAGAAAAATCAGAATAAAGTGTTCACTGGTTATCAGCACAGAACAATTGAGCAATGAAAGCACAGCTGTTCTGTGTTTAAATAGGGTGCCTAAGCTTGGCCACTCCCTCTACATCACTCCCCCTATTGGTTTGCTATGGGGTCCTTGAGAGGGTGCCTTTGTACCGTGCTGCCCTAGGCTGATCCGTGGCTTGGATTCAGCACATACTCCCCCCTTTGTGTC